GCTGGAGAAGCGATCCAAACAAGGGTTCAGGGCTTCAGGCATAAATTTGTACCAAAAAAAAAGGGCCCTGCGTGGAGATCTTACAGTCTAATACCCTACAACTACAAGCAAGACCTATGTACAGACTACAGACCAGCTAGCAATGCAACTCCAAGACTGGCTGGAATGGAACCAGGGCAATACTGGAGCTGCTCTTACAGGCTACAGCACCGCCAAATGAAACCAGGGCAATATTCACAGAGCAAAACACGGGGGTCCATGTCCATGGCTTGAGGGCTCCCCATGGATTACGTGGACTTGATCCTGTCCAGTCTGAACTTGGCCTGCGAAAACGCGGCATCAGATCAGAGATGGTGATGTTGTTATGTTACTACAGTAGTACTATGCAGTGATCCGAGAATCAGATTCAGCGCTAGATAGTAGAGAAATGAAATCAGAAGCAGCAGTCGTAGTGCTAACCATCATGGAGTGGATGTCATCAAGGAGGGGCCGAAGCAGCAATGCGAGCCTCCTGATCTCATCCTTGAGAGCACAGCGGTCTTGTCCCATCCCCAGCAGCAGGCTGGTGAAGACCTTCCTCTCAGGGATGAGCTTCAGTGCTATCTGCAAATGAAGTCGAATCGATCAATAATTTACCAGAGATTATTCAGAATTGCGCCAACTAATCCAAGTTCATTCAGGCAGAAGACGAGAAGCGTCAGCATATATTTCCGCATAGGTGGTACAGTACAGAAGCGCACAAAGGATTCAGTGATCCCAGACCTTGCACGCCGCCGAAGAGATCCAGCCATGCCATGGCTTCAGGCAGACCTCGTACGCAGCTTCGACAAGCTCTGCAAGGCTCTGCTGCTGCTCAGAGTCCTCCAAGCTCTGTAACAGCACAATTGTGAAGTCCATGGATCTGGCAACATTAGGAGAGAAAAAAAAAAGATGCATTACAAGTGAGAAGAGGTGTATTTAATTTACAAGTAGCTTGCATTTTGACAGCACGAGCTAAGCTAAGAACGAAGAGTGGTGTGAACTCCTGATGACGTGGTTGTTTTGTTTTACCTGGCAAGCCACAGGACAGCCCTTGCGCAGCTGTCGACCTTCCTTGCAGTGCCCTCCTTGACTTCCTTCTCGACTACCCCCGTGAGGGTCGAGTACTTGGCTGGGTCCGACAGGTACAGCTTCTGCAGCCTCTGCATGCAACAGGCATCATCCTCCACTGTTCAGGGTTTTTCTTTTTCCAGTTTGTATGTTTTAGAGAGATTAAAAAAAGGCAGTTTTTGGGCATTTTTGAATGGCGTTTCATCAGCTATGAAATCCAAATCCTACGACCCCCCAAAAGTAGCAGAACATTTCGAAAGATAAGCTAAACATGTGTGTGGGTGGATAAACTTTGAACTGCAAGTCTACAACTAGAAACGGATTATGGCACTCGATCTACATTTGGTGCTCCTAATACTTTGTACTAGTAGTATAGTATAGCCAATACTAGAAGTTCCATGCACAGGCCTGCCCCAGCAAATACTGCAGCTCTCATCTTTCATGCCAAGACAGACAATCCTTAGAGATTCCCACCTGGCGTGCAATCTCCATCACTACGTCCTTTCCTTTGCCTACAACTCTAGCGTAGGAGTAGCAGAAGATTTTACATCTACACCCTGCTCGCCGTCCACTTCGTCTTTGGCCTCGTTCGTTTTTTTAAAAAGTCATAACTGAGAGACTGTTCGTTGATTTGTTGTGTCGCAAGACAAGCGAACAGAGCCTTTATCTTTGGATGGAATGGAAAACAAAAAAAGATGACGAAAGCGTCAGCTTCTCGCAAAGATAGGAGAGGAGAGACAGCAATCGGGAAAGGGACGGGACACGAACTGCCGGCCAAAAATTGCACCAGGCCGGCCACGGCCAGTGGGCGGATGCGACCGGAGCAGTTGGAGAAGGCCTGTGCGCGGCACACGTAACGGGCCCGCCCATCCGTGTCGTACATCGCCGGTCGGCCCCGTTCGGTCCATATTTGTTTGGTCGGCTTATTTTTCCATCTCAACAGTGTTTTTCTCTCACGCTAATTCAATCAGAATAGTATTTTTCAGCCAATATTCAACGAGCCGAACGAGATCTTTACGCTGATAATAATCCTCTCCTACCCTATCCTAAAATAAACCAGACCATGGCGTGACATAACCCGGTATATGCGGCCAAACGGACCCGGTGGGTCCTATTGGTGCGTAGCCGTGTGGTCGGCACGGGACAGGGGCAAGCGGACGCGGATGCGTGACGTACCCCCGTCCCCCCCTGGCTACGGACCTGGCTGCATGGACCACACCAAACAGTTTCGAGATGCGGATTCATGCTGCAATTTGATCCAAACCTGCAACCCTTTCTTGTTTCTTTTATGGTAAACTTGCTCTCTCGTCTTGTACGATCAGGCAGAGCAAGTGGAGCCTTTTGCAGGTCTGGTTTACTTCCCAAAAATTTTCAACCCAAACTATCACATCAAATCTTGCGGCACATGCGTGGAGTATTAAATATAAACGAAAAAAACTAATTGCACAGTTTGATTGGGAATCTTGAGACGAATGTTTTAAGACTAATTAGTCCATGATTAGCCATAAGTGCTACAATACTAACATGCGCTAATGATGGCTTAATTAAGCTTAATAAATTCGTCTCGCAGTTTCCAGGTGAGCTATGTAATTAGTTTTTTTTATTAGTATCCGAAAACCTCTTCCAACATCCTGAAATATCCGATATGACATCCAACAATTTTTATTTCGCGAACTAAACACAGCCTAAGCAGGGAGGCGTCTGATGACAGACACTCTCTGCCTAATTGCAGCCTTGCGGTTGCAGGTAGTAGTATTTGCAACAAGTACTACTAGCGTTAATAGTACATAATCTACCGTATCAGCAACCATGAAGCGTTAATAGTACTCCTAGTCTTAATCCGGGAGACGAGAAAGAGAGGAGGTCTTGTTTACTCACCTCGATGTTCCGTTGGACGTCGAGCCTCAGCACGGCCATGGTCGGCCCGATCTTATCTGCACACAGCAACACCACGCACCACGCCATGGCCAAATCGCCATTCAACACAACAGTGAGAAAAAAAAAACATCAGAATTCAGAACTTTAGAAGCAACCCGCCAAGAGGCACAAGCATGATACTGCAGGTGACTGGCTATATACAGAACAGAAGGATCAAGAAGTAGAGGAGGTTTCAGGGCAAGATGAAGAGCAGATACATGCATGGTACTCACCGAGCACGCGGAGGAGGAGGTGCGACAGCGCCAGGAAGCGCAGCGTGGGCAGCGACGACGCGTCCGCCATGCCATCGCCGCCGCCGCCGTGCTTGAGACGGGCCGGCGGGGACAGCTCCTCGATGGCGAGCCGTATCTCCGACCACTCCACGGCTTCGTCGCCTCGATCCTCCTCCTCCCGCTCGTCTCCTTCTTTCTCGTCCCTCTCACCCTCCGCTGCTCCTTCCTGCTGCTGCTGCTGCGGTGGCCCGCTGGTGAGGGCCCTGGCTGCTTCTCCCTCGCTTCTTTCCCTCTCCACCATGGACGCGGCGCCGGTGGCTGTTGCACCTCTCACTCACTGCCAAGGCATTCCAAGCTTATCCTCCCTCCTCTCTGCTGAGAGACAGGCAGAGAGAGCAAGTCAAATGGCCGCGCCTTGCAGAGACTTGACCCTCCAAACGGTAAGCCGGCCTTGATATATATATATATATAATCCTAGTATCCTACTAATAATATCCAGGCAGGTGTCGCTACGGAAAAGCCTGTACAAACAGGCATGCTATTGCTAGGACCTCAAACCTCTGTCCATGGCTTTTCAAAATAGGGTTGGCATCGTTACGTTTGCAGAGCTCAAACCGCGGCTTTGCCTTGCCAATGCAAGCAGAGAAACAGCTTCAGTCGACCTCAGCAGCTTACACTCATGATGTCGATGCCTCATCGACGTCACATATCTTAATGAACAAAATAATGGGAGGCAAAATATATATAATGTAAATAAATGTAGACCTATCAGACTTGCGAGAGATAAATCTAAACAAAAGGGATCGACGGCAGTGACTCCAATGATCCGGTCGTCACGTAACACGTTACTTGAGCAATGACGTATAAATAGTGGCCGATGTCATTTCCCTGCTCGTGCTCGGCGAGGCGTCGTCGACGCCGGAGTGACACTGCAGATGAATCTCTCTCTCTCGCTCTCGCGTCACCTTATCCAAACAAAGCGGCGGCGGCAACGAGATCGGCCCTGACCGTGCTTGCTTTCTCCTGTAACGCTATCTGGTGTCGTCAGAGAAAAAGCAGCGGCACACCAAATCTACTGCAGCTAGTGGTAACCAAGTCAAAAAAGTTGGCGCTGCAATATTACTATAGTAATGCAATCTCATAACCATGATTCAAATCCAGCAGCTGCAAGCGAAGCTCAGTCACAGACAAGCAGCATGCTTATCTAGTTATATTACAAGGGCAAGCATAGCATTTCCCAGAGCGCAAACCCAATCGGCAAAAATTATGTGGCACAGCTAGGCTTCAATTCAAGCAGGCTACCCATAAAACCGTTGCATCATGTCTGAATTTGTGTCCACAGAGCACATGCTTAAAATCACATACCCGTAGACCGCCCGCATTCGAGCAGCAGCAGAATGGCACGCTCCTTTCACATACCTTGCCGTTTCAATAAGCTTGGTGGCTGGTACTATATTTCTAGTTTAGCAACACAAGCACATCAGCATATTATCCTCTGGCGGTGCCTGTTTGAAACAGATGCAGGCCGTCATGAAACACAGGGTCAATATTTTGTCCACCGATTAAAAGTGCAGACACCAAATGAGCTCACGTCATAATTATCTTTATGACAAATACATAGCCACACACACAGCCCTCATAGTGAAGGGGTACTACTCAACCATTGGGTCAAGCAAGTTCAAGCAACCATCTGAATATCACAGGAAGATGATAGTATCTTTTATTCCATGCATACATAGTACTTTCTACGGTTTCCATGCTCTATGGCACCTTAGCGACGCAACAGCCAGCGCAGCAGTTCTTTGGTGGCAGAAGCAGAATTGGCGGCGGCGGCAGCAGCAGCAGGACAGCGGTAGCAGCGGCGCTGGGCAGAGCACTCAAGCTGAGGAAACAAGCAGTACCCATCTGTTAAAGACAGCTAACAAGCACTGTAAATAAGACTGAAAACTAAATGTGGGGACTTGCCTGCAGGTTCTGGTTCAGTAATAAAGGGGAAAAAACAGAATATAGATTTTGACACTGATGAATTCTCAATGGAAAATCATATAGCGACAGCTATTTTTATTCTTAGACCTTATAAGACCCAATGGTTATACATGAGACATGTCAGATGACCCTGTTATCAAAATAAATAGTAGTGCCGCTTGAAAGATACTCTTCACATTTAATGAGTTATTAGTTTATTAACTAAACTGAGGAAATTAGTTGGTGGGACCATGGGAGAGAAATACGCAGGAGAAGATCAGACCATCTAATTTTATCAACAGCCCAACAGCATAAACTAGTAATAAATTCTAAAACAGTGGACTGATATAAGAGGTCATCTGCCATTGTTGTGGTTCATGCATCTAAATAACAAACTTAGCAGAAGAGCTTTCCCAGAAGGAAAAGAATTGATGCGGAATAAAAGACAATGAAGCTGATCAAACAGTAGATCACTTAAACAGTGCCTGTTCAGGTCAGATAAAAAGTTGCATTTCATTGAAAATATGTTAATTTACCCAAATGACAAAAATTGCCAATCCTAATAAACTCTATATCGCTCTAGCTGGTTTGAATGGACAAAATTGATCTACAAGGAATTGAGGTTAAAGTTAACTCTGTACCTAGGTGTTCCTAATTCATTCATCTATATGTATCGGCAGCCATTTGAAATTTTGTATTAAAAAAGGGGAAAACAATGTATAATTTACTTTACTTTAGCTAACAGAAAACTTCAGCTTGTATATGGATGGAAATAGCGACAGGCAGGTCGATTGCATTCTCCTCGTTTAAAATCACGGCATACTTCAACATTGGCGCTCGCCGCCTGGCCAATTAGATACAGAAAATGAAACTTGCAAATTAGTAGCTTGCATACTAGCAGAAAAAGGCAAAAGAAGAGGCACAAATACTAACCGTTGTATGTGTCTCGGGGTGTGCAAACCGGCAGGATTCCCTATTGCACATGTTCTTCAAGAAGTCCCTACAAACTTCAACTCTGTTCTTATTATCTGTGTTTTCAGAGGAGTATGTTTTTCAGGGAAGTTCATTAAATGTCAAAAGCAACAATAATAGTACAAGGGGGGAAACTGATCATTGCGTGTTATGTACCAGCAAATGGTATAGGAGGTGAAGGCGGAGGCCCCATCATTGGTACACCAAGGGGTGGTGGTGGTGGTGGCGGCATGTAAAGCTTCGGAATAATGCATAAAAAGGGATACACAGTATGTTACTCATGATAAATCATCTTACATTTATATTAATAATACATAATGCAAAGATGAACACTCTCCACTAAAAAATACAGGCAAAAGAAGGGTGAGCTTCTCAGTTCTCCAAAGAGCACTGTTATTAAAAATATGAAGAATAGATAAAAAAAAACTCTTTCCATAAAAAGTAACAGTGTAACATGTGGGAATGTATTCAGCAGAAGTACATACCATCTCAGGGTATGGCATAGGAACATGGCTCATTGGTGGCATTGGATGCGCTACTACATGAGAGTACCTACATGCTATGCGATTGCACTGTCCACGCAAGAAGTCTTGGCAAACCTGTCACAGAAACAAAGTAGAAAAACACCTTTTAAGAGTTAGGAAGTGCCAAATGTGGGAATCAGTTAGAAATAGACGATGTTCTTGCTCTAAGTACAGAGAAAACTGTTCTCAGTTGTATTTTGATAGGCAATTTATAGCAATAATAATAATACACAAATTTCAATGAGGTACACTTACAATCGCAACATCTTCAACAGATGAATGGTGCAAGAATCGGCACTCATTTGCTGATCTTGAACACTTCCCACGTGTAAAATCTCTGCAGATCTGCTGAAGTTTCATAAAAAAATTGGTAAGTTGACAATCCAAAATGTTATATGCAGACCAGATTACTGTTATAAGATAGATAAATCAGCATAGCTGCTACAATGGCATCTAATTTAAGCAGGCCTTTAGACATTGTTCTACAAGATAGGTTCAACATTGTTGACACCACCTCTTTCACGAATTTCAACAAAAGGATAGTTACTAGGTCACACAGGGCAAAACAAAATGTATAAACCCTGATATATAATTTGTGTTATCATTTTAAGCACATACTCCCTCCATCTCTTAAAACAGTTCGTTCTGGAGCTTTTGACATTTTTCACAAAGGAATTCGTTTTGGGTGGTCCACAGTGACTTGATTCGCGGCGACAATATTTGTTTTACCCTTGCTTGTGCTCTTCGCTTGCGGGAAAAGTGGCGGCCTCTTCATTTCCAGCAAGTCATTAACGCAGCAAGGAGTCAGCCTCTTCATGGCTTTCAAAATCCCATCGCTTGCTATCCTCGAACGCTTAGATTCATATTTGTTCAACATGCCACAAAAAGCTAAAAATACAAAGTACACCCTTTGTGCCTTTGCAATTTCGCCAACACGCAGGATTGTGCGTGCGAGTAAAAAATCTCGTGATTCTTTGTGATTTTTGTTATCAGCCGCTGCCTGCAAAAATATGAGTACACGCACGGTACGCAGCAGAGCGAAATGCAAAAATAGGAGCCGGCGAGCTCAACTTGCAAGTGCGCGCAAAAAACAGGTGCTGGCAAGCACTGCATGCAACTTGCATGTCTACGTAAAAAAACAAAAAAGAAAAAGAATGCAGTCCTTGCTACAAAAATACGCCATGCAAAAAAACGCAAAAAAGAAAAAAAGTAAGAAGTCCATTGTCCATGCAACAAAAAGAAGCAAGCATGGGATCGAACCCGCACCGCTAGCCATAGAGTGCACCTCAGTAACCAGTCAGACACAGAGAGTTATTCGTTGAATGGATGCCCAGCAGTCCATTTAATAAGGACAAACAGGGGAAAATAGACTAATTAATTACTGCTTGGTATCTTAAATCATGTCCAAAACGAACTTTTTTAAGGGATGGAGGGAGTAGGCATCAATTCTACTCTTAGGTTATCTCCAACAACAACACCCAAAATACAAGACCCATTCGTCCTTTGGGTAGCGCTACAGGCAAAATGTTCAATACTTATTCGGCATCTTCTCCAACAACAAGACCCAAAAGAGAATTCTTTCTGCAAATAGGTTTCCAGGAGAGAGGATGCCCATATTTGAGTTGTGCCTCTCAGGCAACCTAAAATAGGTCTCTCGTATAGGTACTCTGTTGGAGGCTGATTTTGAGTCTCTTGCTATCCATTTTGTGTTTGGGTGCCCATATGGGTTCCTTGTTGGAGACAGTCTTAGTCAGCAGATGGCACTAAATAGAAAGGAATTTTAAACTTTCAGAAAAGGACAGTCAGATCCATGTTATTACCCAATAAAAACATAACAAACTTACCGTCTTCACCTTTGGGTCTTCCACACCAATTGATCTCAGCAATTGCCTAAAACAAAGAAGCAAATAAAAGCAGTGGAATCAGAAGTGCAGCTAAAAATTTTCTTGTGCTCTCACAGGGTAATAGCAGTTTGCATGTCACTCTACAAATTCATCCAAGTCAAGTTTCAAGACTGTCTTCGATCAGAGTCAAGCAGAAACACACTCTGCAGGCTTCCCAAAACAACAGAAAAGGTGGTTATGGGGTATGCTGCTGTACTCATGGAGTAACTTTTTTTTAAGAAAGAGGAGAGTGGGAGGGCTAACAGCGAATTTTCCCAGTCAGGGAGCTCATGGGATTGAATGGTACGTGCTATGCAGAAATAGAGAGGAGTTAGATTCCTACACTGTGACAGGGAATTGAAACAACCTATAGGCCATGTGTTTGAGTCATAAGTAGGTTTTCTCACGAAGCAATGTTGTACATGTTGTAATTTCCTTGCAAAAGGAAAATGCTGTTAGCCATTTGCAGTTTGCATCAGCTGTTAGCGCAAGGTAAAAGGGGCATTGTGAAGCTGCTAATTAAAATTTATATGTTATACTCTGCAGCCTTCATGGGCTCACAGTTAAAGTATCTGCCACTCGTGCTTCTAACCTTCTATAAACATGAAACGAGATAGAGTACTGGATTTCCACAACCGAAGCATAACAATTAACCAGCAAACAAAACCAAACGAATCGAACAACCAAGAATGGAGAAATCAGCCGGTTTCAATACTCCTCTCTCGAACCCTCTCGTGGCTACAGTTCAGAGAGGCGAGAAAGAGATGCCCGGCTTCCTGGTCTCCGCCAGGGGAATCCACGGTCTTCCTCGTCTCCGATGGCCTTCTAGGCGTCAGGAAGTGGGGAAGACCGTGGATCTCCTGCTGGCTGGTAGTTTAGGTCCAAGTTTCTCTAGGCTTTGGTGTCCTGGCGATGATGGTGAGGCGGGTGCAGCATCGTCGCAGAGGAATAAGTCCCTTCGTCCTCGTTCCCGTCGCGGTGGCGCTAACTCCGGCGCCTTCGTGAGGTATGTGAGGGTTGGGTCCTCCAGATCTGGTTCTCTGGATCTATGGAGGATTTGTACAGAAGTCATCAATGTAGTCATGATGTTGTGCTGCTGCTTCGCTGCCTAAGGTGAAGGAGCTTGTGATGGTGGCGGCAACCTCTTTTGTTGAAGGAGAAGGGATAGCTTCTGGTGTAGCGGTGGTGTGGCGAGTGGACCTAGGTCTCTTCTACGGTGCTCTCCGGCGATGTGCCATGGTCCTGGGCCAGGTGGGCATGGGGTGTGTCCCTGGTCGATGGACGATAACTGACGATTTTTTCCTGTTCCTAGTAACGGGATTCTGTTGCGGCTCCTTTCAAAGCCAAGGCGAGATGGCGCTCTTCCTGGTCCATGTTTGGTGTCGCTTGTCCCAACTCCTAGTGTCATCCTCTCTCGATGAGAGTAAAAATTCTGCTACTACCAAGAGTAAGAATTCAGCGACTAACAAGTGGTATCGAGCCGTACTATCACATGTAGCTCGAGCATCTCTCTCGCTCATCTTCCTTTCAGCCCCACAACAGAAAAGTCATAAGCATTTGTTGCAAAAGGAAAAGCAACTAAGCGGATAAAAGGGGCATTGTGAAGGCTGCTACCTAAATTTAGGCCGCTCGCCCCTCCTCCTCTCTCTCAATAGATGCATAGTTTCAGCAAGCAGCTGAGAAATCTGGCAGCCCTCTCCCACGCAGGCAGCCCCCGATAGCGCGTGCCATGTCCATGAAGGCTCGTCTCGGCCTTCGTCGCCTCGCACGCATGGTATGTTGGCGTCGGCAGAGGTCTGGCGAACTTGCACTGGTGTAAAACAAAGAGAACGCGAGCAGTGGCGGCAAAGACTCGCTATGTGGCCAAGTGGCAAGAAGGTTCGAAGAGCAAGGATCTACACTGTGACAGCAGTGAAGGCTTGTGATGGCAATGTTGTAACCTCTTTTTTGAAGCGTGGCGTGGGCGAATGGCGGCAGAAGCGCGGCGGCGGCAAGAGGTCGAGGGGCCTCTGCTGGTCTATGTTTGGTGTAGCTTGTCCCAACAGCAAAGCTCTTAGCCATGCCTTCTCCATCCTCTCTCGATGAAAGTAAATTTGCTAACTGCGAATTCAAATTGACTAACCGACGCGTACGACCTCGAGCTCTTCTTGGGGAGGGAGCAGCGCTCCTGCTCTCCGGAGGCGGCGGCTCTGAAGCGGCGAATGGATGGCGCGATCTCAAGTACGCCTCCACCAGGCGCGGCGATGGTGGGCAGCCTGCAGCAGCGCGGACGCGCCGACGGCGCTTTTGAGGAGGCGCGATGGAGGCGGCGGTGGCGCTGGAGGAGGCGCGCGCGGTTGGCGGGCAGCGCTCTGGAGGAGCTGGTGAGAGCGCCGCGCAGCAATGGTGGCGTGGCGGGTCGATGGGAGCGGCGGCTGGCGGTGGGCGGTGCCCGCAGCGGCGGCTCTCTCCCGGATCGGTACCGACGGGTCGATGGAGAGCGCGACCTTCACAGAGCGCCAGGCGTGGTCTCTCTCGATCGAGTCGATCGACTACCGTGGTTACCACGGGCCCGGGATGTTGTCGGGGACATCGGCCCGGCGGTGGGTGGCCTACCCTCACCAAGACCAACTCGTCCCGCCGGGCTGCGGTGATGAGGTAAAGCTCAGTGCGGCACATGGGAGGCGGTCCGTCGGCGACATTGACTACGACCTAGATCGACGGTATTTGGATGCCCTCATCGCTGCGATCCGCGAGATGCGATTCTCGCTTACCAACAAGCGGACCGCCAAGGAGGCTTAGGGGCGCCATCGCCAGCTGCGGCATGCATCGGCGCGCTCAAGCACCGCAAGTCCACTGCCGCAGCGCACTTCGCCAGAGAGGGAGAACCTAGCCTTCAAGCCGGTGAGGGCGTTGATGACTTTGCTCTCCGTCTCAACACTGCTGCGTAAGAAGATGGTGCGATTCGATGATGACACCTATGGCGAGGAGAGAGATGTCGAAAAGCTCTTCCAGCTGCGTCCCCGAGAAGTACAAGCAGATGGCTCGCTTCGATCGAGTCTCGGCTTTGGATCTCTCCACGATGTCGATCGAGGAGGCGATAGGTCGCCTCAAGGTCGTCGGCGCCGATGAGCCTGATCTCTCTCGGGGCCCATCACCTGCTGGCGGAAGCTCCTTCTCACTCTGGGAGCGTGGCTTGCCGGCCAAGGTGGCCGGAAGAAGGGGAGCCTTCTTCCGCGACGACGAGCGGCCGCAGCGCAATGTCGCCGCAAGCGCGCAGACGCAGAGAGGGCGGCTCATCAAGCGCGCGAGGGCGTCGCGAGGTGATGCCATGAGGCGCCAGGCGGCGGCGTCGGCGAGAGCACGAGACGGCGATGCATAGCTCGGCGCCGGCAGCCATTGGGCCAAGGATCGGCGATACCACCACAAGCAGCGCCAGACCCGTCACCACGCAGAGGAGGAGGAGCTCTGTTCATGGCACATGCAAGCATCGAGCTACCTCCGGTGCGGCAGCTGCCGGCCGCGCGATGGCTCTCCTCCACCTTGGCGAGCAAAAAGCGCGCGCCCTCCTCGGCGGCAACCGACAACGACAAAGACCGACGGGTGGTGCCTCGACACCGGCGCCACCCATCACATGACCGGTCGACGGGAGTTCTTCACCGAGCTTGACTCTAGCGCCCGAGGCTCCGTCAAGTTTGGGGATGCCTCGGCGTGGAGATCAGGACGTCGGCTCCGTCATCTCCACCGCTGTGTGTCTCCGTGAGCATAGGTCGCTCATCGAAGTCTACTACATCCCAGCGTTGAGGAACTCCATCATCGACTTTGGGACAATTTGGATGAGAACGGTTCGCAGCGTGGTGGTTGAGGACGGAGTCATGAGGATTTGGGATCGTCGTCGCCGCCTTCTTGCCAAGGTATCCGAAGCGCCAAATCGACTCTACGTCCTTAACGTGTGGTGGCACAAACCCTCTGTTCATTTGCTTGCTCGTCGGACGACGAGGCGTGCAGCGATGCACGCAGCGTTCGGGCACCTTCACTTTGAGGCCACAGGCGGCTCGGTTGCCACGGAGATGGTGCGCGGCCTGGCGTGCCTCGACCATGTGGAGCACTCTCACGACGTCTGCGTGTTGACGAAGCAGAGGCGACTCCCTTTCCCCAAAGGCGAGAAGCCGAGCCAAGAAGAGGCTCGAGCTTGTGCACGGGGACTTGTGTGGCCGGCAAGTGACACCGGCCACACCGGAGAACGACGCTACTTCTCGCTACTCGTCGACGACCTCTCCCGCTACATGTGGGTGATGGTCTCTAGCAAGAGAGAGGCTGCGGACACCATCGGCTGCCAGTCAGCTGGAGGAGGCGAGCGCGTCAAAAGCTCATACAGCGTCTGCGCAGACCGACAACGGCGGGGCGAATTCCGAATTGGTGAATTCGCGTCGTCATCTTCTTGCCGACGAGGGCATTCAATGACACTACTCGCACCGCCGTCTGACCCGCAATAAGCAGAAGCGTCGTCGAGCGGCGCAACCAGACGGTTGTGGGGATGGCTCGGGCCCTCCTCAAGCAAAGGGGATGCTGGTGTCTTCGGGAGAGGCGGTGATGACGGCCGTCTACATCCTCAATCGCTTTCGCCTACCAAAGGCGCTCGACAGTAGGACGCCGTGACGAGGCTTGGCATGGGCGCAAGCCGGCGGTCTCCCACTTGCGGGTCTTGGTACGCCTCGCGTTCACCAAGGAGTTTGGCCACATCGGCAAGCTCGACGGCAGGAGCACTCAGAGTGTTCATCGGCCACGCGGAGGGCTCGAAAGGCCTACCGCATCTCTCGACCGAAAAGCGGCGTGTGCGCGCACGAGCGCGACGTTGTGTTCGACGAAAGGCGAGGATGGGCGTGGGACAAAAGCGGTGGAGCGACGGCTCGGCTCCGACGTCGACGACTTCATTGTCGAAGTACGTCCACTTCGAGGGAGCTGGGGAGTAGGCGGCTCTTCTTGGCGAAGCGCGTCTACCCCTAGTCCCCGAGCCTCCACCGACCCGCGCGCTGCTACTCAAGCGACAAAGACCACACTCTCCGGCCGGGACCCTCACTGCGATGAGTTCTTCGCCGGCTCCACCACCGGTAACGCCACGCACTCCAAAGACCGACAAGCACCACTCCGCACGTCTAGTCCACCACCAGCTCGTGTCGAGCACGGCCCGGTTGAGCTCGCTACTCCGCTCTCTCACGACGAGGAGCGTGTCGACGCGTACCACGATGGTGAGCCGTTGTGGTACCGTACGATGGAGAACCTTCTCGACGACCAGCCGGTGCCGGGACCGGTGCCTCACGACCTGGAGGCGCAGTTGCACCTTGCGTGTGACGACGGCGAGCCTCGGTCGTTGCAGAGGCCGAGAGACACGCTGCATGGCGCCGCCGCGATGCAGTTGGAGATGGATGCGGTTGAGAAGAACCGCACCTAGGAGCTTGCTGACCTTCCTCGTGGTCACCGCGC